TGGGGGGAGTCGCTGAGGTGTAGAACAGAGTATGCCAGACCAGAAACTAGAAGGCTCTGGTCCAGTCCAGGGTTGTTGTCCTGACCCTGGATAAATTCCCTGAAATTTCCTGAGTGTCAGTTTAATCACTTCCACAATTGGAATTTGGTTCTTGTGAGGAGCAAATGTATACCGAGCTTTGGACATGCTGAAATGATTATGATGATTCATGGACACACTTTCACAAGCACACTGCCACTAAAATGTTTACCTCGGAGTACGTACACGTACACACATGTGCACACACGTACACACCATACTCAAATCTCAGAAAGCAGATCACAGGGTGAACCTTCAATTAACTTCATGGGACTTGATATCCATACTGTAATTTTTAGGATTAAAAAAAAACCCTTGGAATAATTCTAGCATTTTTGACATAGATTTCTAATTGAGAGTTCATGGCAGCATTAGACAATAATGGAAGAATAAAGGAGAGAATTTATTAGGGTGTAAAGCGTTATTAGGTTTAGTGTCTGGAAGTGGTTCAGAGAACTAAAATTACACTTTGAACACTTGGTTCAGCTTGTTTAATCGCTCCCAACTCTCCAATGACTTGGCTGCCAAATAGGGCAGAAAATTATATTTAAAAGAGGGGTGTAATCTGATTCACAATATTAGAAACATTGGCAATGTGACTGGCATACAGTAATTCCTCCTTATCCGTGGTTTCGCTTTTCCAGGTTTCAGTCATCCATGGTCAACCGCAGTCCAAAAATGTTAAATGAAAAAATTTTGAAATAAACAATTCGTAAATTTAAAACTGCATGCCATTCTGAGTACTGTGATGAAATCTCGCACCGTCCTGCCAGAAAGCGAATCAGCCCTTCGTTTAGCATCTCCACAGCTGCAGACACTTCCATCCCTTAGTCACTGAGTAGCCTGTCTGTGTGATCAGATCTGTTGAGGTATCACAGGGCTTGTGCTCAGTAACCTTTATTTTACTTAATGGCCCCAAAGTGCAAGAGCAATTCACATATGCTAAAGAGAAGCCACAAAGTGCTTCCTTAAGTGAAAAGGTTATGAATGTATGTATAGGAAAAAACAGTATCTAGAGGGTTTGGTACTATCCACAGTTTCAGGCATGCACTGGGGTCTTGGAATTTATCCTCTGAGGGAAAGGAAGAACTACTGTAATGAAAAATTATTTTTCTTTTCAGCAGACATTTCATTCTGAAATGCCCCTTAGGTGGGTTATTAATTTGTATAAATGTGTCTAGCTTTGAGAACAGAAAACTGGACAAATAGACCTACAAAGTTTTTGATTCTTCTGATACTAATTTAACAAGAGCTCGTGGGTGGAAAAGCTTCCATCCCAAAGTGCTGCATTGTGCACGTGGGGAACTGAGGGCTCCAGTGAGTTTACATGATGGGCCCTCAAGGCTGGGCTTCCTTAGAAGCAGCCACAGCAGGATGGGCAGATGACCAGAGAAACCATCAAAAGAAGGTCAGGATGCAAACGACAAGCTTACAAAAATGACGACAAGCATCAAAATAGTCATTAAGGGAAAATATAAAAACCTTTTTGGGTTATAAAATAAGCTGTAAAACATGCATTTTATAGTTCAGTGATATAAAATACTTTTTGAATTACTTGTGTGCTGAGGGCTTCATGTTTTCATCTTCCAAGATCCCTAAAGGTCTTAGCCTGGCCCTGCATGTGGTACAATGAAGGCTGGGAGCTCATGGCTCTTTTTGGGGGATGCTTGAGGGGTATCACTCCTGGTGTTACTTGCAGTAACAGTCTCTCTTTTTGCATATCTTTTCACCACTTTTGTGCTCATTTCTTCACCATGATCCTGGAGGAAGCTAGACAGATATTTGTGTGTAGTTTTACAAGGAGGAACTTTGAGATATTAGAGACTTGTCTAGGTTTATAGAGATAGGTGAGGGTTAGAAATTGAGACTACCGTAGGTCTACATTCTACTCCTGTCTCCTTCCATTCCACTTGGCCATGACCCCAGGACTCTAAGTTTTAAGAATTTTGGCTGCCTGTTTTAAAATTTGTTTTCTTTTCTGACATCAGTTGTTTTTGGAGGAAAAGATTTATGACCTGGTATAGAAGGAAGAAAGAAAGATTAAAAAAAAAAGGGGGGGGATTTAAGTCTACTTTCACAGATGTAGATAACACAATCAATGAAGCTTTAACAATCACATAATGCCTTGGGGATTATTTTTATAAAATAGAGCATAGCTAGTGTGATATATTCATAGAAGACAAAGGGGATCTGGATTTGAGCACTGGCTCATCATTTATATTCTCTGAGCTTTATTTTTATATCTCTATATAGAGATAGATATATTGGGTTGTCGGAAAAGTCATGACATATTTTTGCAACGAAAAACATAGAAAAAAATATGTCATGACTTTCCTGACAACCCAATATGTACAGTAAGAGGATTAGACTATATAATCTTTCCGGGCCTTTCTAGTTCTATCAGACTGTGCATCAGAGATTTACTTTCATGTGATAGTGTGATTTGCACACTCTATGCAAATACCTACTCAGCCACGTAAAGGTGTCCTAGTGCTGCCATCACAAATTACCACAGACTGGGTGTCTTAAAGCAACAGAAATGTATTTTCTGACTGTTCTGGAAGATAGAAATTCAAAATCAAAATGCCGGCAGGGCCATGCTCCCTCGGAAAGTTCTAGCGAAGAATCCTTCCTGGCCTCTTTCTGGCTTCTGGTGGCTCCCAGCAATCCTTGCTGTTCCTTGGCTTGTAGCCACATCTGCCAACTGTCTTCACACAACCGTCTTCCCTGTGTGTCTCTGGGTCCCCTCCTCTTCTTTCAAGGACACCAGTTATATTGGCTTTAGGGCCCGCCCTAATCTAGTAGACCTCGTGTTAACTAATTACATCTGCAAAGACCTACTTCTAAAAAAGGTCACATACTGAGGGTTCCAGGCGGACATGAATTTTGGGTGACACTGTTCAACTCACTGCAAACCATTGATTCATTTACTTATTCAACAACATTTATGGAGCGTCAGTTAACTGTCAGGCACGGAGGGAACAGTGGCAAGCAAGACATGGTCTTCTTGGCCTTCCTAGAGTTTCCAACCCTGTGGTTAAAGTTCTGGATAACCAAGTAGGGGACAACTCTTCAGTAAGAGGTCGCACAGGAAGCTGCCTACCTGCTTCAATTCCCAGTTTCTTGGCTGCGAGTACAAAGTGAGCATATACTTTTTACTTCTTTTTTTGCATTAGGCACTTTCTCTTTCGTTAATTAGCAGGAAGCCTTTAGTTCAACATGTCACTGTCATTTTTCTCCCTGCCACCACCACCCTCCCACTGCTATGCTGGGATGATCTTTGCCAGTCACCAACCTCAGTTCCCATCAGAATATACAGGTTGAGGATGATGTCGCTTCATGCAAACAAGGCTAAGAGCTCCAGTGCACAAGCAACACGAGGGATACTCTCGATCGCCCTTTAGCCATCCGAGGGAGCCGCTTGGGGTGGAGGTCTGGGTTTTGTTACAGCAGAGGGGTTTCGTGTGTTGAGAGGATTTTCTGTTCCAAAGGTCTGCTTATCACCCCGTCCCTTGGGATTTCTCTTTGGCATGTTATGATTTACCTAATCTCTGATATGGAAGAGTCCTTAGACACTGCTTATTCCACTATCTTAATTGAGGCTGGACATGAAGATGAGGGAATTAGAAGCTGAGGAAGGGAAAGGACTTGTTCCGGCCTAAGACCAGACCCAGGGGTCCCTGTTCCCAGCCCGACACCTTGGCCATGCTGCTCAGTTGCCTTCCCCAGGCAATACTCCCTCCTTTCTCTACAGCAAGTGAGATGCGGAATGAGCGACATCAGCTAGAAAGAGACTGACTATAATAACTGTGCTCAAGGATGAGTGGGACAATTAAAAACAAAGCCTTGAGCAATGCATGGTGCTGGTTAGAGCCAATGCCAGGTATGATGTGATCATGGAGTCGCTGGCTAAGGTCTGGACATCATCGAAGCAGCTAAGTTCCACCTCAGCTCAGCAAACATTTATTTACTGAATGCCGTTGCATTTGAGGCAGGGTAAGAGTCACACTAATGTGGTGGGCACACTGTCAACTGCCCCTTCCAGTTGCCTGGAGACTAAGCTGCCAAGGCTGTTATGGTGGAGACTCACCCAGTTATCAAGGCCCGGAGGTGAGGTCTTAGCATTGTTTTGGCAGACACCTGTCAGTGTACTTTGAGGACTTCCCCAGCTCATGCAGAGAGGGAAACCCAGAGATAAGAAAATCTTCCCCTTGAGGATATAAAAAGTTGGTTGCTTAGGTCAACACATAATTTTGAAAGTGTGCTCATGTCATATGGGTGCTTTTGGTTCATTTGGTTGTTTACCTGCATACCTGAGGTTCCTCTTAGGAATCTAATAATTGCTAAGCATTTGGGACAAGAAAACCACAGCCCTTGTTCTTTAAGATTAGAGGAGAGGTTCAGCAAAAGAGGCCTCTCTGAGGGAGAGCCATTACTAAGTAAAGTTGACAAGAAGAGTGGAAATGGTTAGAGAGAGGAGGCTATGTTAGGCTATCGCATGGGCCATGCAATAGAGATGACAGTGAAGGCTCAGAGAGAGAGATTACAGCAAAAAGGTGTTGGTAGCCATGGTGAAGAGTGGGGAAGGAGAAAGAGAAGGTTTGGGATGACAATTAAAGTGACTTCTCTTGCTGTTCATGAAATCCCAATAGACTCTTCATTCAACAAGGTTTTCAACGCCACACATCTTCGTCTCTAAGAAATGTAATTTTTGGGATAAAGTTTTCTGACTATGGAAGACTCTTGCCAAAGAACCAGTTTTTGCTTATTCTTCCTATTCCTTTCTCTGAGTGGGGTTCTGAATTTCCCTGACCAGAAGTGAAGACCCCTCCCTTGGTAAGGAGGATGTTCACACTGAGGACACACGGTCCGCCCCCCCCCAGGATGAGTGTCTACCTCCCCAGCCTACTGTAATGTCTAAGCACAGAAAAATCTATCCTCCTCTTCAGAGGCTCCTTGAGACACAACCAGAGAGCTTGTAAGGTTATGCTTTCGTGATCCCTCAAGTCTCCTCTGATTGACATGAAGCCCAAAGTTGGGGGAAGAGAGGTTCACACCCCAGTGGAGGTGGCGTGGTGAACTGGGGAGTCGCCATCACAGATCAGTTTCCCCACCATCCTACACTGGCTCATACCCCACCCCATTCCCATCTATGATCTTGACATTGTGGCTTCGTATCAAGTGAGGAAGGGCAAGGCCCACAGAGTGAATGTAGAGCCCGCTTCCTGCTTTCAAACTTGTTGGGTCTCATCCTCTCCTGCCACATTCCAGTAAGTCAGAATTAGAAACTCACTTTCTCCAAAGATGAGCTCTTGAAGCAAGCATCACCTTTTTGGGAACGTGGTACTGGCTGCTGGGTCAATGCTAGACATCAGACATTTCCCACCTATGTTCTCAGACAGCTCAGCGCTCAAGGTGATGAGGGAGGCCAGGAAAGGACCTAATTCCGACTCTTCTCTGCAGCACCTGCTTGCTGCCTACTTTGCACGTGGCCATGGGCCTGCTGCCCCTTGCTAGGTCAGTTGTGACAGATCGGAGCCCAGCTGAAGGTTTTGCCAAACTGTACTACACAGACAGTTTTGTAGGGGTGGCTGAGGACATCTTTTCTGGACAACTTCTGGATATTTTGAGATATATCTGCATATTTTGACAACTATCTAAGACCTAATATTTTAATGTAGTTCAGGATTGATGATGAAAATAATGCAAAATAATCTAGGACTCTCAGACAAATGCTTTCATTAGGGTAAATATCAGAAGATACTTATTTTACCCATGTGCACAAATGTGGTCCTTTTTATATCAAGAAAAGCAAAATCCTGAGCTCTTCTCTAAATACTAAGAAAATGGGAATTATCAAGGGTCCTGGAGGGCTTCCATGTAAGGACAAGCTATAGAAGACCCCCACACCACCCCCAAAGGTGACATACAAACACCTGTCAGTCTACACACCAGAATCAAAGTACAGCGCTGAAGTCCGAATGAGCTGGTCTAAGAAGCACGAAGTATACGAGAAGTCTTCTAGTTGTACCTTACGTTTTACAGATAAAGAAATTGAGGCTCCCAGAAATGAAGGGGTTCAACTCTGGCTCTCCAATCCAGTACAACTTTCATTATACCACACGAGTAGTTTCCCGCCCCCCACCCCCATTTAAATTGGGAGTGAGGAGAAGCTGCTATGAGGATTTCATTACTATTTCATTACATTTCCACTTAGTAATGGCTATCCCTTAGAGAGGCCTCTTCAGTGCCAAGCTTGGAGAAGAGAAGTTGCCACACACAGAAGGCTGGCAAAGAGGTGGTCTCACCATGACCTCATCATGAGAAGCACAGGGAAAGCCCACAGTTCAGCCTTCCCTCTGGGGTTTGAGGGCTGTCCTAAGTAAACAACAGAGTACCCATTGCTGGAGGGACATTCTTGGTGGATAGAACAAAGGAAGCAAGTACAGTAAAACCTCGGATTGCGAGTAACGTGGTTTGCGAGTGTTCCACAAGACGAGCAAACATTTCTAATACATTTTAACTTGGTAAACGAGCGATATCTTACAATATGAATAGTTTGTTTCCGGAAGGAATTATGCTCACAAACCAAGGAATTACTGTATTTTTTAATGCAAACCATGCACCAGGTAAACTGCTGGGTGCTTTCACATATGTTATCGTATTTAAGCTTCACAGTCATCTTCTGGAACATTCCAATAACAACAGTTCACCTTACTTTCACAGGCACGAAGCATGAACGCTAAAGCTCGGAAATGGCATATAATGTTTCCAAGTTCACAAAACTAGAGAAGTCACAATTTGAACTGAATCTGACTCTCTAACCTATGCAGCCTGTCTCATCCTACCGGGCTCAAGGGCAAAGAGATGAAAGAAAGTGGTTGTCTGGAGTATAAGACACGGAAAGGAAATGTGTGGCAATAAAGCTTGACAAGGAGGTTGGAGTTGGGTCACGGAGGACCTTGAATTGGGCACTGTGGGGGTGCTTCTGGGCAGTCGGGGGTAGGCAGCATGAGGTGACCAGGTATGGAGGATGAAGGGAAAAGCTGTGGCAGGGCAGGGAGCAAGACGAAGGACCATTTATTTTGTTTCACAGCGTTGCCTAGACTTGATGTTATTGATGCCAGTTTGAGACTTCTGAGAATGTGCACACGTCTAATGCTGGGTAACATTTAGGAAAAGGAACAGAAAGCCTCAGCCTGGAGTTCCAGTAGATCGGCCCCAGAGAGGAAGTGCTTTCCTTGCTGTCTCTCAGTGTCTTGATCTCAGAGAATGTCCTCTAGGTCACTAACACCCTTATTTCATCAGGGCACTTCAAAACGTTGGGAAATTTCTTTGAACTTCCCAAACCATTTGGAGATTTTGCAAAGTCAGTCAAATAATCCAATCACGAGGGCTTTTTAGATCAGAGAGCTTGTTTGGGGGTGAGGAGGCTTCGTATTTTTCCTTTTTTATTAAAATTGACTTAGAGCTGCAACTTCTATAATCTGGATCACAGATAGTTAGTGCTGGAAGGGAGGCCTGTGCTCTCCTAGTCCTTTTTAAAGAGGAGAAAACCGAGGTCTAGAGAAGTTATGAAACTTGCTGAGGAGGTCACCATCTCTGCCTGGCTGCCATCAGAACCCGGGTCGCTGCCCGCTGAGCTCGGCGCTCTCCAGTGCTTCTCCACAGGCTGCTTTTGACTTTAACAAGGTGGCCATTTTATGCCGGGACCAACCAGCTCAGGGAGCCATGGGGCCATTAATTTCCCCTGGGGATTATGGTGACAGGGTGACATGCTTTTTGAGAGGCCTTCTTCCTGAGCTTTGCACAAAGGACACCAGTTCAGCAGTAACAGTTCGCAGAGGGGAAGGGTGAGCCGAAGACTTCTTAGTCAGCTCTGGTCGACACCTCTCTCCGTGCTCACCACTGAAGAGGCAGGGCTCAGAAAGGCTCTCCCGCCTTCCTCTGCTGCCTGTTAGTTTCAGCTTCGCAAGGCTTGTGATTTCACTTCTAAGGGAAGCCGGGGGTTCCTCGTCTGCGTGGGCAGTCGTCCGTAGGATCCACTTGACTGCAGTTACCAGTGTGCCAGGAGAACAGGAGGCAGGGCTTCTACGCCCCAGGGCAGAAAAACAAAGCCCTTCCCACACCTTCCATCGGGATATGTCACCCAAAAGAACCCTGTGGGAAGAGCTGTTGTTCTTGGCAGGCGCAATAGGCGGTGTGTTTTTTTGTTTTGATTTGTTTTTTCCATCTCCTTTTCTTTTTTTCCCCTCATACGTAATATAAGCATATGGTACAAAATTTAAAACACATAAAAAAGTAGACCATGAAAAGTGAGGGTCCCTCCCACTCGACTTCAGGCTTTCAATTCCTTTCTCCAGAGGCAACATTTGCAACCAGTTTTTGTGTGTATTCTTTCAGATACATTCAATGTCCACACAGACATTTATTATTTTTTAGCAGACAGCAATATACATGATTCTGCCTTTTGCCTTTTCACTTCAGATAGTTTGGGTTTTGCTCCATATTAAGCTCCTTTGTTCTTTTAACTACCAAATTACTACAGGCATTTTTATTTACCAGGCGTCCTCTCTTTATTGTTTTACTTTTTTCCTGCTGTTGAAATACTCTCTTGGTTCAAGTTAAAGTTTTTCAAGCTGTTCAAGGAAGGGGAAAACCCAGCGTAGAAAAAAACGACATTCAAATCTACTGACCTCTGAAGGATTAGACCAGTTTTTATTGCCTGTAGGCCCTGAAAGTAAAACACCCTTACTCCTGCATTATAGTGAAAGAGCAAGCAGCATGAAGCATCCTGAATGTACTCTCAGTGCATTGTGGGAGTTGGTGGTCATGACGGATGGATTGGTCACAGCCTTTCCACCAGGGGATCTCTGATTGAATGCATTTCTTACACGATCGCTATTACATGCTCTGTTATTCAAAATGGGAATTTGGGGATCAGGGAATCAAAACAATATACCAAACAAGGGTTTGGTAAAAACAAGGGCAGATCCTGTATGCTTGCCCAAAAGAGCAGAATACACCTATCTTAAGAGATGTTATAGAAAAGCAAGGGAGGCAGGTAAGAAATCTGGGTCGAACCTTTATAGAAAAACAAGTCTTGTCAAGTCACTCCCTCTACAGGCTCCTACATTTCTGTTTCATAGGGTGGCTTGTCGATTGCATTTGTTCACTTTTGTTGTCCTAAAACTATATCCATTTTTTTGTCTTTCAGGAGTCATCTCCGCACCACTCAAGTATCATAGCACACTTTACCAGTAAGTACTGTCAAAAGTTTAATTGATTCATATTTTTGAAAGAGTCTTCTCTCCAGTCTCTTAATTTCCTCCAGAACATAAGATCCTCCCTTTCTTAGGAATCATTAAATGCTGGAATTGCTAAAGCCTATATATTGTTTTCATTAGGGACAAAGAAGGATGGTATAAACAGAAAAGGGGAGTAATTAATTACCAAATCTATGCTTGTTGCTGTTTTAATTACTTTCTATGCCTCACTCAGTCCTCCCAGGAGCCCTCTGAGTAGGGATTATTCTCATTTTTTAGGTAAGGGAAGGCTTTATTCTTAAAAGTCTGCCTGACTGTAGGGCACACCATTTCCCACTAACTCTATTAATAGTACAGCACAAGATTTTACCTTCATGAGTGTTGGGGGAGGCTCCCGATATAAAGGTAAGGTGATACTTATCAGGAGAATGACTTCCACCCATGATTAACAATAGAACAGCCATCAGTCGTTTCTCTAGCACCACTCATTTGTTTAGTAAGTTCTCCTGAGCCTGACCAGAAGTATATCTTGCCCTCCATAAGTGGTCCTCATTTTCAATTCAAAGTCTGCCCCCTGGATCTGGTACAAATCAAGAATGACTGACTTGTGTCCAGCAGTGGGGAACCTACGCTTCCCTGTCATCAAGGGACTCGAGCCAGAGTGGGGAGTCTGAGATGTGGTTGTTTGGTCATTCAGGATGATATTGGGGCTGACTGGAAAGAAAAGGAATTCAGACTTTGGGGCTGACACTTGGGATGGCTCCACACAAGGGTCTTAAAGCCATCGCACAGGGTCTGTCTGCTCTCCTCCTTTTCCCTTTGTGGCAGCAACTCTGCCCAAGGAAACGTCCAGGAAAAAGTAGCAATAAAAAGGTAGAAGGGAAATGCAGGTCTATGGTCTTGAGTTCATCCACTTGCTTCTTACTGAGCAGAACTTGAGCCCGCAGACTTTGTGTGCACAGGGTATTACAGAGCCACCACGTTTAAGTGACTACGAGCTAAGGTCAGTAAACGCTGTTGTTTAAATGTCCAATGCCCAGGGTATGTAAAAAATTTGCATTTCATGGTCAGCTGGAGAGAGACTAGGGAAGAGTTCAAAGCAACTGGACGGGGTGTATGGGACTGGGCAAGGGGCGTCCCCACCACCCATTGCACTAGTCTAGCCTTTGAGCCAGAAAGGAAGCACTGAACTGAAGTTGCCAACCCCTCTTGGTTTTGAAAATCAGGGAACTCTCCAAGCTCCATTTCCTGCCACAGGTCTGCTGTGACAACTGCCAATTGCTATAATCTCTAAGCTTTTGAATCCCAACCCCATCAGAAACTCTCCTGACTACTAGTATTAGCTCTACTTCCTCTTCCGTTCCACAGGTCAAGCAGAGTCCAGCCCTCATGTGGAAACACAGTGCTCTCCTCCTCTCATTCTTCTCAAAATCTCTCCCTATCTCTTTCTCTTCATACGTTTCTAGACTATTGGAAGGTTGTTGGCCAAAGCTGTGCTCAGGATTCATTCTTTATTTTTTCCCTTCTTTTTAGGGTGTGACAATGAGAAATGTTTCATCATCACACCCCCAGGCAAGGAGCAAACCATGAAGGTGCAAAACAACTCAATCATCATCAACTGCGATGGCTATTATCTCATCTATCTGAAGGGCTACTTCTCCCAGGAGCTCAGCCTCAGCCTTCATTACCGAAAGGACGGGCAACCCCTCCTTTCCCTGAGCAAGGTCACATATGTCAACAACATCACTGTGGCTTATCTGGGTTACAAGGACAAAGTCTACTTGAATGTGACCACTCACAATACCTCCTCAAACGACATCACGGTGAATGGTGGGGAATTGATTCTCATTCTTCAAAATCCTGGTGGATTCTGTGCCTACTGAGGAACTGATGGCCATACCTAAGCCAGGCACCAAGCATGAATGCCACACTGGGGGTGGACAGGACACTGATTCTTCCTTGGGGGTGGAGGAGTCGTCCCAGCTCAGTCCCCACAGATGGCCACACAGAATGTGACCAGAAGAAGATTTCCCCACACCTACTTAGGGATATTTAAAACTTATTTTACATATCACTTTATTTATCCTCATGTCTTCTAAATCACCTAGCCCTCAACCCTCACAATTGCCTCAAGCCTATAAGGATAAATGAGTACCTACGTGCCTCTTCCTGAAGACACATTATTTCTTTTGGTCAGGAAATTGTCATAATAAACTTTCTTTATTGAAAAAGACATTCGACTACCATTTGCTGAAAATCTGACATCTGGCATTGTCAAAATGAAGAGGAGCAAGGACAGGGATTATGAATCTGCCAAAGGTGGTGTGGACCTACTTCTGGCAGCCAAAGCTGCCTCTCCAAGATGGAACTCATTGTAGTTTGCATGTTGCCTAAATACCTCTCTCCTTTGGTGAAATTCAAAAGGAAAATCAACTTGTGAACAGCTCTCTGGACCTGATAAATATAGGTGGCTAAGGAATACTCTGTGCTCTGTCTGGGCTTTTTTCTTTACCACTTTGCTTTCCCAAGCAAATGTTCTTAGTCAAAATTTGCCCTCAAAAAACCATCCTGGGGATGTGATGCTGTGAAAAATCCACTCGGTGATTTAAGGAAACTGTCAGAGATTTTTCTAAATTGGGAAAGTGAGAGAATTCTCTTGAGCACACAGGACAGCAGTGGAACTGGACCTCTCAGGGTATAAGTCAGCAAGAATTTACACAGCATGGGAAGGAAAACATTCTTTGCCACTGATAGCCAAAGGTTCCCAAGTGCTCCTACCTGCTGATGCTAATACACACTTGCCCATGCCTTGGACACGTACACCAACCACCATGTTGCTAGTTTCACAAATGAAGCAATTCTGTTATCAAATCAACTTTATGTCGAAAGTTATTGAGAGCCTATGGTATCGTATGACAAACAATGATCTCTGTCTAGAAACACCATCCTTGAGACAAGAAGGCCCCATAATTGGCCAACACCAAGGCTTTCAAGAAAATAAGATCCCCTTAAATTTAAAGGTCCCTCTTGATGCATCAGACTTATGGCGTTGTGGACAAATGTGATTTTTTTGTACGTGAAATTTCTAGATGATTTGTAAGTTCTCAAATTTTTGATAAAAAAAATTTTAAATGGTAGCCAGTGTTTCCCTGCTATTTTAAATAGAGCGCAACATAGTGTAGAATTTTTTCTGGATGATTCTGTGTCATCACGGTAATTATACTGTGCTGCAACACAGCGATATCTTTAGAATCTCCAGAAAAATGGAAGAAGGTCTGTCCCCACACTCAATGGTCTCAATCACATTTGAATTTTTTTTTCCACCATTGTTTCCCACCTCTTCTTCCGTGACTATCTCCAACTATATTCCTGCCCTTCTGTGTCAATCTGCTGTAGAGACATAAATGAATGCTAACTACAAGGAAGCTAAATAAGAGAACTTGAGCATAAAGAAAGAGAACCAAGCTCTAAAAGGCACTCCCATGATCATAATTATAACCACAGGTAAACATTTATGGAAGGCCTACTGTGGACCAGGCATTGGGCTAAATGTTTTACATGAATTGTTTTGATAAAGGTATTCTGTAAATCTGTCTTCACTACTTAGAGGATTTAAATGTGTGTGTATGTGTGTGTGGTGTGAGTGTGTGTGCGCGCACGGGTGTACTTTTTGTTATTGACTATGTTCTGCAAAGTTGATGTTACTCAATGAGTGATATCTAATAAGTAAATGTTTATGACTATAGATAATATTTAAGAAAACGTATGTTTACTTGTTTAAGTTTGGAATTCCTGACCACATTTTACCTGGACATGCACATTCCAGGCCTATGCATAATTATTCTGTGGGTTGCTTGTCTTTGGTGTCATGGCCCCTCCCTACAGCTGCCCGCTCCCTTTGGGTACACATGGCCTACTCTTCCCATGATGGGTGCCTTCAGCCACAGAGAATTATTTCTGCCATGCACCAGCCTCACTCCCCCACCCTCCACCCGTTAAAATATGCATGTGCCCTTTAAGTCATTCCTTCAAAGGGTTAACTAACTTCTCTCTGGACACAACAGAGCTCTGTGGAAAGGGAACTGAATGAGAAATCAGGAGACTGGAATTCTGATTTCAACTCAGTCACTAATTAGCCAAGTGACTTTGGACAAATAATTTCCCATTTTTCAATCCTGCTTTCTCTTCTTGTTAAAATGATCACTTTAGAATCTCATGCTCATAGTGGTAACTGTGTAAAGTACATACTAAGTGTCTGGTATATGGATTGCTATGAGTCAAGCTGTTTAACCTCCTCATTTACGATACAGAATTTTTTTTTAATTTTTCTTGGACAAGCTAACAATCTTCCCTTAGCCTTCTTGGTGAGTCCTTCAAGACATGTTACCCGTTGTTACTTAGTGACTTCCTGTTTAGGGAATGGTTTAAGGGGTTCCTATCTTGACCTAAATCATAATTTGTTCTTAAGCATACTGGGCAGGTCCCTTATTTTAAGGTCTAATTTTGTACTTAGTGCTTTCCTGGCTCTCAGAGAGTATTAATATTGATATTAATAATATGGCTAATAATATTAATATTTACATGGAAACAAATAAAAGCTCTTAGAATTCACAACTGGTTAGAGTGTTAAGAGTTTTTATTTACCCTTCTCTTCCTGTCCTTGTTATGATCAGCTAATTCCCCGATGAGGAGAGGATGAGGCAAGCTTTCAGATTTCCTATCTGCCTCTAATTTCAGTCATCAGAATTACGTCCCTCACACTTGTTAGAATGGCTATCATCAACAAGACAAATAACGGGTGTTGGAGAGGTTGTGGAGAAAAAGGAATCCTTATACACTGCTGGTAGGAATGTAAATTGGTACAGCCACTATGGAAAACAGTGTGAAGTTTTCTCAAAAAATTAAGAATAGAATTACCATATGACTCAGCAATGCCTCTCCTGGGTATCTGCCCCAAAAATCTGAAAACCTTTATCCATAAAGATATGTGTGCCCCGATGCTCACTGCAACATTATTCATGGTGGCCAAGACATAAAAACAATCAAAGTGTCCTTCAATAGATGAAAAATAAAAAAAAGTACTGTCATAAGAGCAAAGTTTTTTAATACTTTTGGCAAAAGATATACAGAGAGCTTCTTATTAAATTCATAGTGAAAGCTTAATAGAGACCATACTGGGTGCTTTTTAAATATTAATTAAATATTTTTTTAAAAATAGTATTTTAAAATATCAACCTAAGATGTTGTGAGCACTGAAAAAATAATCCTTGAGGATTTCAATCACTCTGCACATTTTAAAATTTGTTTATGACTTAATATATCCTGTTTCTAAAATTAAGTTTTTTGGCAGTGCTTTGGAATTGCATATCATCCATCTATCTATCTATCTATCTATCTATCTATCTATCTATCTATCTATCTATCTATATCTATCTACAATTTGCTTTTCTCTACAGTAGCTTTCATCACAGAGCATGTGGGTGGCCTGGAACCTTCCATAACAGTAACTAGTCATGGCGGCTGTTGTAGCAACTCATTCAATCCATGATCCACGGGATCAAGACACGAAATGATATTGTTAAAATTTAAATGTAAAAGTTACTTAGGAGAGCTGACACACATGAAGTCCAGGAATGCTTTACAACCACCATACCCCCGCAACAAAAAGCTGGTCAGATGGTTCATTCTAATCTTGAGGGCATGGGATATAAGGCCCTTTAGTTCTGACTAATTCCTGGGGCACAACTAGGGTAGCATTCAACCCAGAAGCAGGTAGGGAGTTGCCTTGGGAAGAGGATGCTGAGTGTCCAGGGTACCATTCCACCACAGCCCTTGGAAAGCTGGAGTGTCTGGGAGCCTGGTTAAACATGGGCCTTGAACAGCACTTTGGTTAATGGAACCGATGGCTTTGTTCATCTTCCTATAGCTGGTATGGGGAAGGGAACTGAGGGATGCTAGGAGCTGAAACACAAAATTTTAGCATTTGGGTTTCTTTGGAGTCATGCCAAGCTGAGTAAATAGTTTTGCTTTCATATACATTCTCTTGATTGCTAATGGATAGAAAAGACCTTTCATTTTCCTCCTGATGTATGCGGTCTTGACCTTCTTTGGTTTTTGAGGTTTTAGGTTAAAAGAAGAACAATAACAAAATAACGAAGTTATCAACAGGAAGACTCAATATTGTGGAAATATAAGCAGGAAGTAATCTCTAAAGGTCATTTCGGTCCAGCTCTCTACTTTTATTTAGTACACATTTATTTTTTCGGCTATGACCACCTTCATTCTCCCCTTACAATCAGATTCACTAGGTAACACTCTATAATCTTTTGACAATTTCTTAAGGCAACTTGAACTTTTCAATTTATAAAAATCTCACTCACTGTTCTAAATCAATCAATAGTCAGGTAGTCAACATGAGTTTGTTCTGCTCCTCCTATATGCCAGGCATTGTGCTAGGCACTTAGTGATACTTTTTTTCCCTCATGAAAAATGAAAACGAGATGTTATTCTTTGTCTTCTTTTACTCTCAAGCCCCAAATACTTGCCACTATTATATCTATTGTCCACTCCACCTCTAAGACACACGCATCACCCAGATACACTTCAGAAACCTAGTCAATCAATAAAAAGCACTGAAAATGATACATTATTTTTATATTTGTCATCAATACTATTTCTATCCCCTTCATCATGTTCATATTATTTTAAACTCTTGCAAATTGATGCAAACACAGTTCTTTTAGGTGAATACTGAACTATGCTCATTCTATCTACAGTTAAATCCCATTTTTGTGAGAGGTCAAATACACAGCATTTTTTTTGAGAAAGCCCACATGTGAAAGTCCAAAATAATTTTGTGTATGAATTTTCATTCTTAGGGTAC